CTTGTAGCCCATTCCAGCCTTGTGTAGGTCTACAATCTTGTCCCTGACATCCTTGGAAAGCTCTTTGGTCTTGGCCATGGTGGAGAGTTTGGAATCTGATTGATTGATTCTGTGAACAGGTGTCTATTACACAGGTAACAAGCTGAGATCAGGAACACTCCCTTTAAGAGTGTGCTCCTAATCTCAGCTCGTTACCTGTATAAAAGACACCTGGGAGCCAGAAATCTCTGATTGAGAGGGGTTCAAAATACTTATTTCCCTCATTAAAATGCAAATCAATTTATAACATTTTTGACATGCGTTTTTCTGGATTTTTTGCTGTTATTCTGTCTCTCACTGTTCAAATAAATAAAACCATTAAAATTATAGACTGATAATTTCTTTGTCAGTGGGCAAACGTACAAAATCAGCAGGTGATCAAATACTTTTTTCCCTCACTGTAGCTGAGTGAGCATTACAATTTTTGTACAGTTTGTAAGATTGCGAGCCGCTGGCTCTCTCATGCTGAGCCAGCCGGCTGCACGGGCCGGTTCTTGCGACGCACGAGTGCTGTTACCCAGTCAAGAGGCCCCCCACCATCGTTTCATAGATTGCTGGGGCCAGTGCTGTTTTAAGCGAGCACCGATTAAGACCCGGTAGTGTCGCCGGCACTACACTCGGCGCTATCTTTCTCTCCCCGGCGCAGACGCTTTTACACATCGAACCAGATGCTAATTTAAGGCCGCGGGGGGGTCAACCCACGACCGGTTCGTGTCAACGCCGCTGATGTCAGCCATGGCTGGGAATTTAACTCGAGTTGCCGGGTTGGTGGCGCCGTGTGCGCTAACTGCTGCGCCACCGCTCCACCCCACAGGGGCACAGCGCAGCGACGCCTGCGCGTGTCACTTGCGGCGTCAGCGATGCCCTCGAAAGTGTCGGGGATTGCAGACCAAGGGGTGATGGTGCTGGCACATCGCGAGATTTTTAGAGGAGAGACATCGGCAAGAGATGGTGATCAGGCGAGAGAAACACGCGCACTCAAAACCGCCGTGAATGTTGGTGGTGGCTTCTTTCAAATGTGAATAATTAGCCATCAACTGCAGGATGAAGGCCTCGCCGTGCCTTGTTCGGTCACGGATATTGCTTTACCATACTTCACCACGCTGGCCAGGGAGGGAGCCGTCTCTTCGCCCTATCCGAAGAGACCGATGGGAGTGTCCAGACACCCGCAGGGGACTGCTGGCGCCCTCACCACGGACGCACGCACGGACATACGCATTCACGCATGGACGCACGCAACCACGCAAGCACGCAATCTCGGGTTGCGAAACCTGCCGTGGCCGCGCAGGCTATTGTGTAAAGAAGGCCTCGGCCCCGCGTGTCATTTCGCCGATCTTGATTCTGGAGGCTGCGGCTCGAGATTTCGTTGTTGAAATCGCGTATCGTGTGTCACGTGTCACGCCCGCCCGCTCTCCGCCGCTAAAAACCAAGCGAGGAGGATGGGAGGGCGCCAGGCCCCCGGGTCAGGCCTCCCCCACTGCACGGTAGAGCAGCGGACGCGGGAATTGGTTCGCTCAACCAACCGCACGGAGCGCGCTTCGCGCGGAGATCCCAAAGGACGGTCGCTACCTCCGTTCCCGAACACCGTGCGGGCGGTGCGGGGGCTCCGTGTCCATACTTCGCCGCGCTGGTTTTGATCGCGGGGCTGGTGGATGCCGGAAGGGAACGACTGCTGCGGTGGTGGTCGAGGTAAGCGGCGGAGTGGCAGCCAAAGGAGAAGAGAGAAATGCCCCGAATGAGCAATAATATTTACAATGTCCAGCACGATGTCTGACGTCGCGCCCCATTTGCCCCGAGTTTCCATCGGCGGACGGCGAACTTTGTCGCCACGTGCACTGTACCTCGACGCTCCCGTGTCCGTGGCTGCCCCACCCCCGCCTTCGCCAACCCTCGCCGACCAGCGCGGTGAAGTACGGACAAACAACTCCCACGACCCGCGCGGCGCCGGGAGCGAAACGTCGGACGCGGCGCCGTAAAAACAGCGCTGCGGAAAGGAGCGATCCGCTTAGCTTACGAGCGGAGAAAACACGAAATTAACTGTAAAGGAAGTCCCCCCGCTCAGCGTGCGGGGTTCGTGCCGCCCGAGCGCTTGGCCGCCTTATCTCGTTTGTCCCCGCAGCCCAATAACAGGATATCTGCTGGCCCCTTACTCTCGCTCTTGACCCTGTCAGAAATATCTTTCGTAAAAAAAAAAAATGTCCCGACCACACTGAGCCCAACACCCGCGGGAGTTGAGCAATAACTTTCCACTCGCTGCAATAATACAGTTTGACCTCATTAATGGGGCTTACGGTAACACTTCTTCGTATGCTCCCAAACGTGCGCACCCCCCTCAAGTGCCTTTCTGTGAAAACGTTTCCTCCGCAAGCTGGGCAAAGTGCTTCGCAGTTCCCGATGGATGCACCCTGCCACTGTGCTCTTCTTCTGTCGATTGAAAGCTTTCGTGACTGCAGGGATTCATATTCTTGGTCCTTTCGGTAAAATTTTGATCTAAAGCTTTCGTGACTGCAGGGATTCATATTCTTGGTTCTTTCGGTAAAGTCACGTTGAAGGGAAACAATAAAATAATAAAATATATAAAACAATAAAATTCTCACGACGTAGAAGGGAAATAATAAAAATAAAACGATAAAATCCTCACGACGTTTCGATTGCAACACAAGCAATCATCATCAGGTGTGAAAAAGTGGCGATTTTTTCAAAAAAAATTCTTGCTGTGGTTTTCACACCTGATGATGATTGCTTTGTGTTGCAAGCGAAACGTCGTGAGAATTTTATCGGTTACTTTTTTATTATTTTATTATTTCCCTTCTCCATGACTTTACCGAAAAAAACAAGATTATAATGTGCTCCTTCTTTATGAGTGCAATCTGTGAATGTGCCCCTTCTTTATGGGATGCACTGTAAATGTCCACCTTTGTGGGTGCACTCTGTAAATGTCCTCCTTATTTATGCGGTGCACTCTGTAAATGTGCTCCTTTATCAGTGCACTCTGTAAACACTCCTTATTTTTGGGATGCACTCTGTAAATGTGCTCCTGTCCATGTAAATGCAATTCCTTGTGACTAATTGAGCTCTGATCTCACCCTCCCAACCTCGTGGGATCTCAGCTCAGCAAGGGTCGAGTTTTTTTGAATGCTGTTTTTACGCATGCCGAGTTGTCTCCGGTTCCCTCCCACACTCGCGGAATTGGCCCAGCGTCCCAACGTAGTGGGGACCTTCCTAAAAAAGGTCACGTGACTCCAGTGAGGCTTTCCCAAGCAATAACGGCGCTTTATTCACGTCATTTATCGCTATCACAGTACTTCTGTTCCCTCCTTTGGCCGTCACTCCACGGATGTGTTGAGATTGCCTGTTGTACTATACTTGCATGCTCCAAACCCAACTGTATGGGTCTCTATGTAAATCCACGTGTCTCCATGGATTTACTATCGCACTACTGTGGCTTGTCTTTAATGTATCTCTACGTATCTCTATGTATCTCTGAAGGTCTGTGTATATGTATGACCCTTTATGTATCTCTATGTGTCTCTATGTGTCTCCGAGTCTCTGTGCACCTCTGTGTGTCTCTGTGTATCTCTATGTTTCTCTGAGTCTCTGTGTATCTCTATGGGTCTCTATGTGTCTCCGAGTCTGTGTATCTCCATGTGTCTCTATGTGTCCGTCTCTGGCGTAGGCCAATCAGCTTCAAGGACAATGCACATATATTATCTGAGCGTGTTTGTTTGCATGTTCACCACAAGTACGTATTTGGTGTTTGAACACACCACGTGTTTCATGGCCAGAAAGGGTAAAACCCATCCTTATGATACTGGCAATAAACGTCCAATATTTTAAAAACTTCTTTTCAATTCAATGTAAAATCCTCCAGCGATCCGCCAATCCCCGCGTCCACCGCACTGGCCGCAGCGCGCCAGCGCCGGCGACACGGCGCGCGTTCCGGTGCCGCGTCACACCAGGAGGAAGCGTGCCTCCTCCAGCGCCGCCGCACTACTTGCCGCGGAAAAGCGCGGCCGTGGAACCCTCGACCCCGGCGGCCCGGCCCCACCGGGACCCCCTGCTGCCTCGGGCCGGTCCCCCCTATTGCAGCGGGCGACTATGAAATGGCATCGCCGTCGTGGTGGCGAAACACAAAACGGCGGAAACCCAATCACCGTGGCGGCGGCGACGACGACGACGCAGTGCGGCCGGCGGCCCGCGCGATAAGACGCGCGCTTGCCCGGCGCGGTCTCCCTCCCGCCGAAGCTTTTACGGCACGTATCGAAAAAAGGGGCCAAACGTCGGTAGCGGTTACCGGTGACGATCGCGGTGATGGCATACGGCAAAAATCAGCAGCCCCCCCCCCCCTCGCTTCGTGTCGCCACGTAAGCACGCGAGGCGTTTTAGTCCGCGCGCCTGCAGGCCCCTCCTAGACCTGCAAGAGACCTCAGCAGAGCTTCTCTCGCCGCCGCGGTCGGGCACACGCTCGGCTAAATGCACACATCGTCGCCGCGTGGAGGGGATGCGACTACGATGTTGATGATTATGAACCCCCAGACGCATTCAGACGTGTCGTCGCGAGGCCACCGTGTCCCGGTTTGGCCCCGCCGTACCGCGCGGGACTTCATTAGCGAGCGTCGTTTTGATTTGACGTCAAGTTTGTGCACCGTTTTGCGATTTCTTCTTGCGCGAAAGGTTCGAATTAATTTAATTTTTTTTCCATCACCGATTTCCAACAGCTTAGTTGCAACTGCTATCGCTTTCGTCATTGTGGTTGCCCAGGTCACTCTCACACAAACGGGACCCTCGACAGTTCTCCGCCGGTCGAACGAAACCAACTTCAAACTCGGTGGCCCCGCGCTGGTATGGCCCGGATGTGCCAATGGAAAAGCAGCACTGGAAAACGTCCACGAAAACGAATCCAACGAACTCCATCCCCACCCCGCTCCCCCATCCCGCTCCGCCACCCGCCCCCCGCTCACCTCTCGTGCGTGCCACGTAGGCGCAGATTTCCTCGGCGACGTACTCGCCGGGCGGGAAGGAGAGGAACTGCGCCTCTTGCAGGTCGTGGTAGAGCCGCACGTGCAGGCCGGGCTGCTCGCGCGGCCAACTCTGGCTCAGGGCCGCCTCGCCGAGCTCCCACCACGGCGCCGCCGCCGCCGCCGCCGCCGCCGCCGCCGCCCCCCCCTCGTTCACCGATCCGGAGCGGTGCAGCGACGCCGAGCCGCCGTTGGGCAGCGGCGCGGGCCGGCCGTCGCCGTTGTCGCCGCGGCCGCCGCGGCCTCCTCCGCCGCCGTCGCCGCTATCGTTGCTGCCGCTGCCGGCGCTCACCGTGCCGTCTCTGGTGGCGGCCATGACGCCCAGGCAGGCTAACATCGGCATAAGGAGAGGGGGGGGGTCCGGTTGGCTGGCACGGCTGGAGGGGGGGGGGGGGCTACGGTCGCCCTCCGCTGCCCCCGCAGCGCCGCCGGGACTGGGGGCACGCCGGCGGAGGAGGAGGAAGTTCCGCCACGGCGACGGCGAGGCCCGGGGGCGAGCCGCGGTCCGCCTGGAGACGAAAAGACGGGAATTGGCAACATGCATGTAGTGAGGGAAAAAGGCATTTGATCCCCTGCTGATTTTGTACGTTTGCCCACTGGCAAAGAATTATCAGTCTATAATTTTAATGGTAGGTTTATTTGAACAGCGAGAGACAGAAAAACAACAACAAAATCCAGAAAAACGCATGTCTAAAATGTCATAAATTGATTTGCATTTTAATGAGGGAAATAAGTATTTGACCCCCCTCTCAATCAGAAAGATTTCTGGCTCCCAGGTGTCTTTTATACAGGTAACGAGCTGAGATTAGGAGCACTCTCTTTAAGAGTGTGCTCCTAATCTCAACTCTTAAAGAGAGTGCTCCTAATCTCAGCTTGTTACCTGTATAAAAGACACCTGTCCACAGAAACAATCAATCAATCAGATTACAAACTCTCCACCATGGTCAAGACCAAAGAGCTCTCCAAGGATAGCCAACCGTCCCTTGTTACACCGGGACAGTCTGTGGACTAACATGTGTGTCCGGGTGGCAGGAGTCGATTTGCGCCGAGATCGGGTGCCGGTGTTGCTGCGCTGAACTTTATCGCGAGAAGCTGCTGCACGGTTCCGATAACGGACCCTCGTGCCGACTTGAGAAACACGTCCAGGCGTGGCCGACGGTCGGTGGGTGACCCCATTTGGGCGAGCGATTTGGTCATCGGGCCATAGAATTAAGCCGTGCCACAGACATGCATCGAGACCGCGGCACTTGCGTAGACTTGCACAACGGGGATGTTTTTTATTTATTAGAATGGTAAAGAATGGCCACGGGAGGTGGGGCGTGGCTTTTAGCGGTTAACGCAAAACCACGCCGTGACCCTGACTACGAGCGAACTCCATTTCCGGGGCACGGCCAACCTCATTATCGTCCATATCGGCTGCGACAGGAGGTCACGTCCATATCGGTTGCGACGGGAGGTCACGTCCATATCGATCACACGTCGTGTTCGAAAGCCTTTTGCCGCGCGTGCGGCGGCGTGGCCTGACCCCGGCTTCGGCCGGGGTCGGAGGTCGTGGATTCTCGGCGACGGACAGCGCGTTCCCCCCCCCCACCCCCGTCCAAGACCAATCCGCCAGACCACGGTCAACAGTGGTCGGCGTGGACGACCGTCGTCCTTCCTGGCGAGCGACCGCCTGCCAAGCACCGTCGCGTGCCACGTGACGGAAACCTCTCGCGCGCTTCTAAAACTATTAAACTAGAAAAAATTATTTTACCTTACCAGGTAAGGTCCACTTGGGCGATGTGGCTCTGTTTCTGAAGCGACCTGGCTATCACAAACGACAGCTCGGCGAGGTGGCAATGTGTGGCGGCAGCCAAATGTTCTTGAGCGCGCGACGTTCATTCTAAATGTGGAGGGGAAAAACCGGAGGCCCCGGAGAAAAATCCGCACGATCCTCGGGGAGGGAGAGAGGGTTGGGATTGAACCCACCACCTCCTGTATACCAGGCCAGGCGGATAACGTCTCGCCAGCAGAGCATCCAACCGGCTCGTCGTAATCGTCTGCCCACCCGTGTCCTCACCCACTCGCTCGCCCTGACCTACGACCTTGGCCACATCAGCGGTTTCTACGGTGCAACAAAAGAGCCGCACGTGGACGGCTCGGTCTCTCACCGCACCACCGCCCACCATCCCCCACCGCCGTCATCATCATCGGCATGATGTTTGCTTTTATAAAGCATGTTGCAGCATTTACCATTGCTCGCAAACGCCACTGCTAGAGGGAACTGTATGTAGAAGCCCTCCCAGACGAGGTCATCGGGGTGTCTGTTCTTCCACGCTGGACGGAGAGACGTCGTGGAAGAGGAGGGAGTACCCCTCACTTCACCCACACCATACGCGTCCTGCCCATCGTGGACTAACTGTGGTGAACCCATTTCTACCGCTGGCTGGACAGAGGTGGTAGAGTCGCGGGGGGGGGTGGGGGGGTGGTGCAAGAAACTCGTTCACGATAACAACGACGATCATGCGATTTATTCGCCCGGCAAAGCCTCACCGCCGAGTCTCAGGGAATCTCTGTCGAGGCGGATCCTGCACCGGGATGTTTTGCTCACCTCCTTTGTAACAGTCCACGGAAGCAGACATCAGAGAACTACTTCCAAGGTGGGGTTTTGCTTTACAACGGTGCACACCAAATGTGAAAATGCACCAAAAATTATCTCTGTAAAATTAAGGCCGTTAGAGCAACACAGTTGGCACACAAATGAAACGGTGCACAAATGTGCTGTGTAACGATTCTAAAGTTGTACATGAGATGAAAAGTGGTTGAGATAAAGGGTGGTGGTTATTATTAACAGTGGTGGTGTATTCTTAGCTCTTTCGGTAAAGTCATGTTTTATATATATTTTAATATTTTATTGTTTCCCTTCAACGTGACTTTACCGAAAGAGCTAAGAATATTAATTAATGCAGTCACGAAAGCTTTAAATCAAAATTTAGTGGTGGTGTAGTTATGGTGTGACCGGAAAACAGGTGGGAGTGGTTAAGGAGGGGTTGGAGTAGTGATAGGGGTAATGATAGTGGTTATAGTAGTGATAGGGGTAAGGGGAATGCTAAAAGTTGGGGTAGGCCAGGTCGTAGCTGGGCGAGGGGGGCAGGGAGTAGCAGTTAGGGGTAGTGAAAGGGGTTGGGGTAGTGAATGGGATAGGGGTTAGTGATAGGAGTAGGGGTAGGCCTGGTCGTAGCTGGGGGGTGAGATTTAGGGAGCAGCAGTAGCATGATGGGCGTGGGCAAAAGAGATGGGGGTTGCTTAAAGGGAAGGAATGGAAGCAGGTTGAGGTGATGACGATTGTTTTGCGTGCTGCAGCGGGGAGTTTGATATCAGAGAAGGGGAGCACGAAGGAAAAGGGACCGAGAGAGCGTGACTGGGCGCAGGGCGAGGGAGGCACAGAGAGGGACAGTAGAGAGATTGTGAGCGGCGAGGGGGCGGGATGGAACCGAGTAAGAGATGAAAGCAGCAAGAACGGGGGGAAGAAAATAGCAAGATAAGGTGGAGGGATTTATCGAGTGAGAAATGTCAACAACAGACGGCGACAGTAGACGGGGAGCCGGTGGAGGAGAGCCGAAGTGTGGGAATTGAGGTCAACATAATCCGGGCTGGTGTGTGCTGCGTCTTTTTGGCGAAATAATGTTTGCCAACGAACGTTAGCCGTGAAATGATCTCCTCGCACTCCCACAGCCTCACACAGAACCGCCGGCGCTGCCAGTGGCCGCAAGCAAAGCCGTATCCGCGGAAAAAAAATATTTCGTCTTATTTTAAATGTCAATTATAATCTTATCATATCTAATCCATGTCACGAGCCAATTAATAAAAAAAGCCAATTCATCTCTCTCATCCATATCTTGTCTGCATATAATCTCTCATCGAACCCCACGTTTTGTCTCTCGTCTCTCTCATCGCACGACGTCTCGGTCTCATCCGCATCTCACTTCTTTCCACTCACTGCATCTACCACTCTCTCACCTCCGCTGCATCTCCATCTCCTGTCCAGATCCCTTCTGCGACTCGGCCCGTCGTCCCTCCCGAGGGCGACGGAATGAGCACCACTTCGGATGGGAGGTCAACAGCGGGTTTTGTTCTACGGACAGACTCGCCCCTGCCACGGCAACGTGGATATTCCATCGCTGGCTCTGCGAGGGTGCGCACACGTGAGATGAGCACCAATTCCTCAATGCTCATCCGAGCAGCAGGAAATCACCGACTAGATCTGCCAGATGGCCACACGGCCCCGCGCCCCCCCACCCATCGCTCCGCCACCACCGCCAGCCACTTGTGGACACCGCACACTCAAACGTTGCGGCGGGCTGCCCATCGCCACTTATCGTCACAGTCATCATCACCGTCACCGTCGTCGTCGTCGTCCGCCGATCACACTCGCTGCCATCCCACGGGGCCACTCCGGTTCGGCGCGGCGAGCAATATCGTCACCGCCAACTGGACGGTGCAGCACAGTGCACGCGCGCGTCCGCCCCCTTGGAAGGCCAACGTGCGCTTGGACGAACGCGCCGAGCGTTGCAATTTGCGAGCTGCGCGCGCGCGCGCCGCTGCCAACGCGGCGTCGGCAGCGGGCGGCATCGCCAAGCGTTTTTTATTTTTCTTTTACACGGGTTTCCCGACCGATGTTCAGATGACCGTTTTTTTTTTTGGGAAATCGGTCGTCGTTTCTGAAAAAGTCATCAAATCGAGAATGAAGGTGGAAGCGACGCGCGACGCTTTAACCGCCTGTTCTGGTTTCAAGCCACGCTCTCTGCGATGCCCCCTCGAGTTGTCGCGGTTGAAGCGCCACACGCGCTCACGATGCGTTTTGTTTCGTGCGTCGTGAAGCTTCAGTGCCGTTTGAACCCGGCTGAACGATCAGACCGCAGCGTGGCGAGCGCCACTCTATAAATGACTCGGCAGAAGCAGGGGCGGCCGAGTAGCCGACTGGCCAACTGAACGACCGACTGACCGACCGACTCACCGGTCAACCGGACCGCCGGGCACTTGGCCGTGGGGGCACAACGAGCAAGCGGCGCTCTCCCCACCGACGCGGGGTTAAAATAAATTAAACTTGCGGGGGCGCCGGATCGGGAGCGGCGTTGCTGTGGGGTTGCTCGACATTTCGAACTGTGCGGTGCACTGCTCGCTCGCCCATGGATTCCTATCGGGTTTTATTTCGTGCGGCCAATCTCAAATCGATCGCGCAAAAACGAAAAAAAGAACGAATCAGGAATAACCGGACTGTTTCGGCTTTCAACAGGCGCCATAAACGCAATTTTAAGAACACGGCGGGACCTCACCTAAAACCGTTTCTGGTCCCCCCCCCCCCCACTGTTTTCGCCGCTGCCACATGGGTGTGGGCGGCCTGGGTGACGCGGTGGGCTGGCGAGCGAGCGAGGGAGCGAGCGAACGGACGATGCGGGGAGGGGCATCCGTGACCTACGGGGGCACGCGACCGCCGCCGGTGGCCGTGAGGCCGTGGGGAGCGGCCCGC